TATTTTGTGTGCAGAAAGTGTGACAAAATGTTCTGCAATCGGAATTAGAATAGATGCAGCAACAGCTCTAACATCATCATCACTATCTTTTAACCTTATTGTGTCAAAGCGAAAAGAGCAGCTCGTAAATAATGCGATACATGATAATAGGAAAGAGTAGAAACATACCCTAAGATCACTGCACCCACAGTTCCATCCAATATTGTATTCACCAAATCCTTGCGGACAGCAACTGCGTACTTCAAGCCTAACATCCCGGCATGTCGGACTTCCCATATTGATGGTTTATCTCCTTGCACATCTGTTTGATAAATCATCTGCAATAAAACTTTATGAACGCTTTCCACTCCTTGTGATGACATATAACGTAGAAGTGCACCCATTGTTTGCGAGCAAGTCTCTCTTACAGGCGCAACAACCTTTAAGGCAGTTATTAAAACGTTAACCATTGTTTCCCCAATATACATAAAAGAGAATTAACATAATATTAGCAATATACTATACCTGGTCTGACACAAAATCTCCAAATCGGTCCAGTGCAAAAACACATAACAAGCGAATTGCTACATCCTCCAACCATTTATTATGTCTGAATTCATTTTCCGTTTTAGTTAATCCAACTGTTAAAGTAATATAGTATTAATATAGTAATATTAGTTTAATAAGAAACAATAATAATCATGTGATACGTACCACGACGCCCAGCCCCATGACCGTGTACTTTAAGGATTTCCCTTAAACCAATGCAAGCACCGTGCCTTACTTCCCAGCATGGACTTAAAGGTATTCGATGTGAATATTTTATCAAAAGACATATATAGATATATATAATGACACGAGAACTCACTTAAACAAAGCTACACAGAGAGATTCGCACACATTTTCAAATGGCCATTCATTAGACTGATCATCCGTTACATTTGACGATCCTTCTTTTTTAGATTCTACAACAATTTTACTGGAACAAGGTTGTGGCGTAAAATTGAAACATCCCTCTGCTTGTGTCTTCTCTGATGATCCTGATTAAAATGTCAAATAAAAATTTAATTCACTCTTGCTGAACAAGTAAAACTATGAAAGATATTTACACTAACCATCAGGTTCGACTTTGACAGTTGTTGGTGCAAGTGGAGTTGCTAGCGGTGCTGCATGATCACCGCTTGTTCTTCGCGTACCAATTTCTACAACCCGTAATCTATACCAATAAGTCAATAAATATATAATGCTACCTAACAAATGTACGATTATGGTAAAATATTACGCATACTTTTCTTTTCCCTTAATTTTTGCATCATTTTTTGCTTTTCTTTTCAGTTTATTTCTTTCTCTGGCGCTCAGGCCAGCCATCTCTTCTGGGGGCAAAATTGGAGAACGCGGTGGTTGTATAGAAGTAGACTCGATCTTATGGACTTGTGTATTTTGCGATGTAGTCGCCCCACTTATGTCAACATCATCCAATAAATCGACTGCAAGAAATATTCCCTTATCGATATATGATAACACAGAAATTTCTCAGTTTCTGAAGCCTTCTCACTTACCGTCCATAAATTCTCCACCTAATCCTAATCTTTCTCTGAGATTTTTATGTTGTAATGCGAGTCTTTGAGCAGGATCAAGCTCGCTTAAATCAAGATCGTATTCCTAACGCACAAAATTAATTTTACAATGCGACAATTAGGATTATGAGGCAACTATGTACCATAAAAACCACAAAGACCATGCAATTGTCATTTTAGAATAAAATATGTGACACATACTTTTCCGGCCGAACCTAATAATGTTTTTCCATTTTGTAATACATTCGAAATGTCAAAATTTTCAAAGGAATATTTATTATCATTTGACTCATTTTTAACAGATATTTCGTTTTCAATTTTAACAGCTGCAGTATTAAAGAAACGGGTAAAAAATTTTAGTTACACGAATTAATCAACTAAAGAAAAAATTTTTAAAAAAAAAAAGCAGATCATAATCTTGCATACTCTCTGGAGGATCCCACTGTGGCACATTTTTTGCAATAGCTTCAATTGCTTGCCCCGCAGCAATCCGAGTATCCCATTCTTTATTGCTCAAGTGAATGACAACCTGATTTGCGCATAAGCAAAGATCTCTCCAATTAATCATACGATAAAATTTTAAAAAAGAAATTATTAAAGGCGTTTATTTCAAAAAAAAAGATTTTACA